TCTTCTGCTTATTTGTTTCTTAGATGTGTTCTTAAGATGGATCATCACTGTCCTTGGTATGTATAAAAAACAGAGAAAATTGCATTAAGGAGGTGGGGAGGTGGGAAGGAGAGAATTTAGAGTAACTTGCTTAAGTATTCCTAAATTTTGAAGGTCGATTTAATTACTCATAGATACTAAGATTGATCTATTTATATGCCTGTATATGTACATATTTATATTAAATGTTTTCCTTTAAAAATATCCTCTGATATTATTAACCCAAATAACAATTTATTAAGAATTAACATTAAAATTCCACATTCCTTATAGATTTTTTTTTCCCCTGAGACAGGGTCTCGCTCTCTTGCCCAGGCTGGAGTGCAGTGGCATCATCATAGCTCACTGCAACCTCAAACTCCTGGGCTCAAGCGATCCTCCTGCCTCATCCTGCCTCAGTCTGTCAAGTAGCTGGGACTATAGGTGCACACCACCATACCCAGCTAATTTTGGGGGGTTTTGTAGAAACAGTCTCTCACTATGTTGCCCAGGCTGGTCTCAAACTCCTGGGCTCAAGCTATCCTCCCGCCTTGGTCTTCCACAGTGCTGGGATTACAGATGTGAGCCATCACACCCAGCCTTCCTTATAGAATATACTAAAAATACACATCCACAGTTATAGCACTACTCTCAAATGACCCACTTCCAAGTAATAATGATTAAGTTTTCTGATAGTTTTTTTTTTTAATTATGGTAAAAAACACACAACATAAAATTTACTATCTTTAAGTGTACAGTTCAGTAGTGTTATGTATGTTTATATTGTTGTACAATCAATCTTAAGAACTTTTTCATCTTATGAAACTGAAACTCCCTCCCCACCACTCCCATCCCCCTACCACTAGTCCCTGGCAACCTCCATTCTATATTCTGTTTCTGTGCATTTGTGACGTGTCTTATTTTTATGGTGTGACTTTCTTTCTTTATTCTTCCAGGGTGAATAACTGTGTGGGATTTTCTAATTACAAATTCTTCCTGCTGTTTTTATTGTATTCCCTATTATATTGCCTTTTCGTGGCAGTAACGGTTTTAGAGTACTTTATAAAATTTTGGACGGTAAGTCTTTTTTCTATCTTAAAACATGTATTTAAGACTTTTTTAAGATGCCATGTTCCTAAGGAATTACTTCATTCTTTATTACAAGTAGATATGCTTTATTCTAATTTTACTAGTTAGAATTTATAATGGATCAGAGGGTAGATATGGCTACAATTTACCTTCATTACACATGTTTATTTATAAACAAATGTATATTAAGCAGGAAATAGTGAGCTTCTTTTAGTGATCCAAATTGTTTTTAGCCACACTCTAACAAAGACATACCAATTTTAGAGAAGTAATTGCTTTGCTTGGAGTTGGTGAGACTTACTGTGGTTTTACAGTAAGAAATGTGACATTCTCAGCCACAGGAAACCACTAATGTACTTCTTGTCTCTATAGGTTTTATAGCATGTTTTTAAAGGCAAGTGATAGAAAACAATCAAATGTCTAATCAACAGGGGTCTAGTTAAGCTATAATATATCTATACCAAGGATTGCAGTGCAGCTTAAGAAAGAAGGGAAGTTCTTTATGACAAATGATGTGAAGTGATCTTTGAGGTCGATTATCATGTGAAAGAAACAAGGCACAAAAGAATGGTTATGGTATACTACCATTTCTATAGCAAAACAACATATAAGTATATATTTGTATATGTCTTCTCTGGAAGAATACATTTAAAAATTCTTGGCAGTGATTGCCTCTGGAAAGGGCGGTTAGAAAGGGAGATGTGCTTCGTAGTTACCTTTTGAATTTTGTATGCCATGTACAAATAGTAATCTATTCAAAACAGATAATACAGTTTGAAAATTTTTAGGTATGGAAGTATGTATTTTAGGAAGAAAGACTACCAAAGTTTTGAAAG